CGTGGTCTCCGCGGTCTCCGCGGTCGGGGAAGAGCACTTGCTACAAGCGCGAGATGCTATTCCTTTTTCTTTTCAGATTCTACGAAATCCCTGCTACCGAATTCGCAATTTCGCTCCTCGTTCCAGAGGCCGCGATCGCCGGTTCAGATTCTTTCCCAGATTCCAGGCGCCGCGCGCGGATCCAATCTTAGCGCGCGTTTCGCAAACGGCGAGAGAGGCAGGCAGTCCGCGGTGCAGAAAGCAGAAAGCGTTCCCATTTAATCGTCTCTCGATAATGGATGCTGCCTATTATCGTCGCGACGCCCGTCGTCGGCATTGTTGCATCGCCACGCCGCCCGTGATACACGTCCGGGGATATATGCGATCGCGACGCGTTACAATGAGTCGTGTGAATCGCAGGGGAGTTGGACGCCTCGCCGGGATTTTTCAATAACGGAAACGAGGGGGTGGCACGCATTTTCACATCCCTGTCACGTCCGTTGTATTCATTAAACCGTCTGCCGCCACATGCCTACATTGACGGACATTATAAAGTTATATCTCGCCGCGCGTTCTATTGTGCGATCGAACGTGAATGAAACGGGTTTAAATTCCAATACGGCGGGAGAGAGAAGCACGCTAAATGTGTATCAACTGCCGTTATATATTGTAAACTGCTGTTATAATCGAATGTACTTTTTTCTTCTTCTAAATTGTATTAGAAATATATGCAGCGTTAAATTCGATGAGAGTTCTGTGTCTCAAAAAGTCTTGATTTCAGAACGTACATCAACGAGAAGGCGCTTCTTTTAACGACCTTCGCGCTACGCTTAGAGTTTATATAAAAAGACAGTGCCTTTTTTTAAACGCTGTAACATAAAATTGCGATACGGCCGGAATAGCAAAGTGGATGAGCTCGTAGATTTATTTAAATTGCGGTTGAATTATCCTCATAATTATATATATATACGTTTTCAATTTTTAATACTGTGATTCATCACTTTAATAAATAAATCACTTTCCTCGAAAATTTATATCGATATCACTTCTTTGGCGCTAAGAGTTATGATTTTTTTTTAGACATTCCTCTGCATCTCTTACACAAATAAACGGTTGTACTATTTGATGTGCAATATTGATAATAATGTAAGCAAACCGGTGCGTTTGTTTTTATACATTTTATTTTTGGACGGAGCACAAAGCATCGTCTTTTGTCAATGCAGCATTTGGTCTTAACATAATACATATTTCATCCTTAACATCGGTAAAGTCTTATCCTACAGTCCTGTCGTTTCGTCGTACATCAGTACTAGGGATAGCAACAAAGATAACTTATCAACTATTTTTGATTCGTTTGTAATATAAAATACACTACGTTACTCCACACTTTGAAAAAGCCTAACGCAATAAAATGTGATATTTATGATTGCATCATGTCGCAGACCAACCGTGCAGTTACGAAGTGCAGGGATAAATATTAATGTGTTCTCTTAATTGATAATTAATCTAATGAGCATACGTTGAAAGATTTTCAAGTGAAAGTACATTTCGACGATTACAATGAAACGAAAAGTGGAATGAAATTGCCTCGAAACGGAATAATTTTAAACGCGTCACTACGATCTAAATGCTATTTAACAATGTTAACAATATACCATCCTCATGGAAATCTCACTGTTCCAACTATTAATAACAAAATGCGAACACTGATTCGATATACAATATATTTATATGATTAAACAAAAGATATATAATTATTTTATATTTTTCTTTAAAGAAATAACTGCGTGTTAACACTTAAAATGCGCACGCCGTTTATTAGACACGGGCAGCCTTTTCGGGTTTTCAATCAGATTCATTTTATTGGATATGTATAGAGCGTGTTATATGTATATATTATTAACGTATATATATATATATATATAATGTTACAGGCGAATATATAGGAATATACTTAACTTATTGTCTGCTCTTTAATATGAGAACGCACAAGTCGAGATTTTTAATACATATATCGGTATATACTTCGATTGCACATTTCAACGGTGTACATTTATGTTACAAAATATTTCGATTAATTTCAACAATTGCACCAGACACGAAAATCGATAACTTTTATATTACGCTTTACTAACTACGTATGCACGCGCTTTAAGCTTCATAAAAATACATGGTATACAATTTAACTCTTTAACAAGAATTTAGGAGCACATGTCGTACTGAACTTCTTTAATAAACCAATAACCAAGAAATAGAATCTTACGAAATTTGTTTAACGCGCAATAATATTATAAAATTGAAAAATACTAAAACAATAAAATTCTCTAACTCTTAACTGTATTGCGTGGCATAAAAAGTCTAAAATCATTTATTAATAAAAATAAAAAAAGAAAGTTTATAAGAATCCACTGTCTCCGAAAAGTTTTCCAATTGTCTATTATTTTTTATGAGTAATTTAATAAAAGCAAATTGAGAAAAATTGACGAAAGTAAAAAATTTGTAAAAAGTGAAATCTTTCTTCAAATGTGGGTCAAGTTTTCTTCTCTATAAATAGATTTAATAACTAATAATATATAATTATTGTATTGAGCTCACGTAAAATTTCATTAAATCAGTTAAGAGTTAAAAATAGCTGCATTACTATAATCATTCTAAAAAATATTAATACTTTCTAACAATTTTGGATCCATCTGAAGAAATAGGAATCGACAGCAGGGATGCAATCTTTGATATATTATTTTTTTTAAACAACTTTAAATAATAAACTAGCTACCAATTCGACAAACGTAACATTTTAAAATCAAAAATTGTTCTCGTGTTTACGATTTTAATTGCCAGAGCTGCTTTAAGATTAATTATAATCATGCTTGATCAACTTTCATTAATTGAAGAGCGTTTGCCCGAAATTAAAGAACACATGCCAACCACCGATTCTTTCTCTGGCGCAGTCTGTACACCTCTCAACATATTTTCCAAATAGAGCACGCGCTTATTTTTTCATAGATTCTATCTAATTTTTTTCTTTAACGTTAGTTATGATGAAATGTGCAGACACTCATTACTACAGCACATCTCTATTCAGAATCAGAGAAATATACAGATATATTTAACAACACATCACATCTCATAAGTAGTGATTATGTATAAGTTATATTTCAAATTTGATCTGATGAATATTATATTTTTATATGTAATTTTACTTCACCCGACCATATAACATTTCCTATTATTATATAAAGAATTCCCTAACTAACTTCTGTGTTACGTGCAAAAAAGACAGAGCGATAAAATTAAAAAGTATAAATAAGAAAATGTTACGCGATATATAAGCACGGAATTTTATGTCACACTGATAATCTCAGAACTTGTCTGTCATTTTTTCGCTCATTAAATAGGATCATAGAGCCAAGAGATTTTCAAACTCAGCGCGACGTTGCTCTAAGCAGATGCAAAATAAAAGATCCGTTGCGTTTGTTCATGTTAAAACATATCTGATCACATCCATCTTTATCTACTACTGATTTTTTAAATTATACGTTAATTGTAAATGACTGGCATAATGCTCGAAAAGAAATGCATAAGTGAACGGAATAATTTAGAATAAATAAAAACCTTAGACTAAAAAAAACTCTTGGTTTACGTCATCGATTTTTCTTAAAATAATAAATTTGACGACTGTAAATCCACTCGCACTTAAAATATAATTTATATATGTATCTGCCATGTTTAATTTACGAAATTCAAATAGCGATATTGGTTTGCATTAATGTGAATGTAAAACGATAAAATATAATTGCAGGAATGTGCACTTACGACAGAATACGCGTGCCATTTTGAAGACTATTATCCCAGTCCGTGATCTTCGAAGAATCCCTGAGGAGTTTCCTCCTGCAACATACGTAAAAGGACAAGTTTAATCGACAATCGGAGTATCGTGCACGAAAATGTTTTACAATAATATGAACAGGGATCAATTACTTTGACGCTGCACTTTATAACAATTACGAAAAATAGAAAATATATATACATATACATATATATATATAAACGTACACGTACCTACTTCACAATAAAATTCTCTTCTTTGATGCAGCTTCAAATGGCGAACTGAACCCTTTTCATATAACCAAGTATCTTTTACTCGTACACAAAGCATGTTTAATGTTTTTTTTTTTTATTGCCTCGCGATCGAAACCTTAAGCACCAATAAAAATTTGCTTGTTCTACATGCAAACGTGTCGGATCGTGGAGCGTTCTCCAGATTGGACAGAAGTGTGTTTTGGCTCAATATGCTCACATCGCGACACAGCTTATAACAGGAAATAACAGCTCATAAAGCTAACGAAAAAAAAAAGAAAAAATTATTTTGCTACGGCGGAAATTTCGCAGTTCTGCTATTTCCTAGGGAACTATGATTACTATTTTCTAACGACAGAAGAATTACTTCTCGCTATGACAGAAATCTCACAGTTGCTATTTCCTAATGAACTAAGCTTCCAGAGAATGTCAGATACCTGGCGTGTTATCTCTACCTGAGATTTACGTTCGTGATTGATGACACAGGCTGATAATAGAGAAGGTATTATACGCGCTAATTTTAAATTACAATATAAAGACTTCGTTCTATGCATTTATTACTAAGTACACTTAAAACTTAATGTATAATAACATTAAAAATTGACGATGCTTATACAATATATACATATATAATATATAAAGGTAAATTTCGATTTGCCATTTTTTGTTTTTAAGTAGAATAAGTAGATGTATATAAGAAGTATATGTTCTATATAAATAGTCGCATTAATACTGACGCCTTTCAGTGTAGCACATGTACAATCTTTTCATAAAAATAACTTATGAGTACAGATAATTTTTATTGCCACAGTTGAAGACTAAACTACGGAGGGTAACTATCATCACTTATACTCGTTATTATGTACTTCAAAGAGTTATAATTAGGATTTAAAAATTGTAGTTCAGCCTTTCATTGGTAACATAACATTTTCTTCTATATGCAAGAGACGATTTTCTCAATATAAAAATTTTTTCTTACATACACAGAGAGTGCTTTAAGCATCGTACACTTTCTCTCGATTATGAGTACTGAAAGCTAAAAAGAGTACCGCTTGATTCAACATCGAAGCTTCGGATTGTAAGAATATGAAAATCGATTTTTTTCCTGAATATTTTTCAAGTCTTTAAATAGACAAGATCTTACGTTTTAGAATTTTTATTGCTATAATATTTCATATTCGATATCCAGTAATTCAGAAAATGATAGAAACTCTTAGCTTTTCTTAATCTTACTGAGGAACTTATAATCGAGAAAAATGCACGATGTTCTCAAACATTCTGTATATGACTAGTAAAGTTGACTTGAAAATTAGTGTATTTATGTAGTAAAGTCGTAATGGCATCATGCAGCGGGTAAGCCCTTTCTGGTTTTTCGGTCGATCATGTGGGTCGAGATTTTGTCCATGAAGCTCATGCAAACAAGAGGATACCTATGCAAGCCCTACCTCCCGCAGATTTTCTTCCACAGCTTCGTCCTTCCACAACAAACAAAGAAAAACTAACTAGTCTTCGCTAAACTTCTACTATATCCATATCTGCCATGAGCTTAACATACATAAATTATACAATATTACAAACATTGAAGACATTATAAACCATATCAGCTCTCTACACACAAGAGTCCTATAATATTCTTTCTAAACAATATTAAAATCTTTTTTGCGGTGCCTTTCTAAACTCGAGGTGCGTTATTACGGCCATTCTACAATGCGCCGCAAATGTCCCGTCTTATCGGAAATAGCACTTTTTCAATTAATAGTTGCTATATCCTTCGCGATGCATTGTAGAATGGCTTGTGACGAAAATAATATTTCGTGAACATTCTTCTATATTATAACGCTACAACTTAATATTTGTACTCGCGTACTTATTTATAACTCATAATAACTCATAATTTTGTCTTATTTCTCGATTAGAAAGTTACATATATAATATTCTCAATAAATAATAGATTAATTAATTACATTGTCAGTTTGCAAATTTTTCAAACTTTTGAAAATGTTTGATTCGTCATATTTCAAGTGCCTTGTTCTACATTTAAGAAAGCCGATAGTATCATTAATAAAACTACGTTTTTCACTCAACGATATATTACACATACCAGACAATACATATGAGATAAGAGTTACAAAATGAATACAATTTTTGGAAAATATTTATTAGATTTTAAAGACATACATATACACGTCAACACTCTATTTATAAAACTACATAGTAATATACTACATAGTGTATACGTAGTAATACACTTCTCATTTATTCTAACTCTAGTGCTGTCGCACATTATTATAATCTATGGAATAACTGATTAATCTAAACCTGAATACTAAGTTTATTCATATGGCAATAATGTGTCAATTCTCATTTTTATCAGAGAAAAAAAAATACAAGTGCATAAATCATTGCATTGGTGTCATGCTTTTGTACAGTATCCGATTAGGCATACAATTATATGGCAGTTAATAGCAGATTGCAGATTAGATCACCCAGTTTAACTGTTCGGTTTTCGATGAGAGCCGATTATATCGGGCTGCATCTTTCTCACTGTCTGCATTCACAATTGTTTGTGCTTCCTGCTTATGCCGGACACAGCGGCTGTCACCGATATCCGTCCAGACCGGTTAAACAAATCCGCAATCTAATTATTAGTAACACTTTTCCATTCGCTTTTAGAATATTTCGTCATTCTATCAACATCACATGCACGTGGTTTACTTCAAAAACCATATATATATATATATATATACGGACATAAGTCAGACAGTTAAACGCAATTCAGATTATTGGAAATAATTTATGCAGTACAATAAAATATTATGCATTAAATTGTTGTTTTGTTTATATAAAATATATTACAAAGAAAAGCAAGTAAGTATTGTAAGAGTGTATATCCCTTCCTTTTTTACAAATATTTACATGTATTATTAATGAATTTAACGTTTTGATTTTGTTAATCATAACATTTCCCAATTGGTGATAATTTAGGTTTAATATTTAGAGTTTTAGCAATACATAACAACGTTTTCTATCGTTTTCTAACTTTGACTAACGATTAACTCCATAAGCACTCAATACTTTTTAATTGAAAGCGGAATAAGCAAAATATGTCGAGTTCTTGAAAAATATTAATATATATTATGCTATATTATATGTACATATAATACATATAGCAATATCACTTACAGGCAAGGAAAAAAGTTAATGTTATTATGTGAGGTATTTTTGATAAAAGACTTAATGTTTTTCATATATTTCGTAAATTGTATCAGATTATATATTCTTTAATGCTAGATTTCCGGTTAAAACTTTACGTACGGTATCATATTTATTCTTTTGTGAGAAATAATTTTTTATTAAAAAAATTAATAACAGACTAGAATGAACAATGATACCCTATTTTATTCCTAACAAATTATATAAATGGCATATTATACGTAATCTGAATAAAAATATACTTTAGATCATGATTAGTCATTAGGATAACGTAAAACATAGTTAACGATCGTAAGAAGACGTTTAAGAATTCAAATATCAGAGTAAAACAACGATTTTCAAATACTCTTGCTACAGCTTATATAGGAGATCGAAATAATATACACATTATATTATCGTAAAATTTGAATTGCCTCAAATTTTACGCATCTACTTATATCACCAATTCAGAATACGGGACTAAGTTCTGATTTATCAATTTTATTTTATAATAGTTCATACAACCTTTGTGGGAAAAACTTTAAACTCATTAGCATATGAGCAAACACATTATATCGGAAATGACAACGTACTCTAATCCGAAAAGAAATTTAGAACGATCTTTTCCCAGATAAATAAAATCAATTGCAAATTATGCACTCTATACACATTATGCACTTTGAGTTTAAGAAAAACGCCCTAATAATAAAAATAATAAAGATATATTCTCATTAGTATGTTTTCGTTTATACGATTTGAAAAAAAAATTTGAAAATTTTAGCGGGACCACTTTTTTTTTTAATACGTATTATAACATACAAATACACTTGAAAAAATATCCTTTCTTTTATCATAGAAATTACGCAATAATATTACCAAAATAGTGTTCACTATATAGATGCTGTTGCACAGATATTTAGTTTGCCAAAAATAAAAATGTTAACACCGAGGTACTGTACAGGCTCGTTTAAACGGATTAAACGAGAAGCGTAGATAAGCATTTATGTATGCAGAGTTGTCTATAAAAATATTCAATATTTAAGCTTTGTTATCTTATAATTTACTGAATTGTCAATATGTAATTACAGATAGTATGTTGCTCATGCTTGACAAATAAAAAACAAACAAAAAATTAAGACAGTTGGGACACCATAGTTAGACGCTATGTTTGGAAAACATTGAACAAAGGTAAAAAAGAGAGTTTGACATAAATTAATTTTGGAAATGTCCCAATTTATCGAAATATTTATTATAACTGACGTGAAAGACGGCACAAATTAAATATCGGAATATTAAAAATCGTGTCCTTCCGTCATATTTTACATATCATATAAAATAGTACGTGTAAAGTAGCTTTTAAACATAGTGCTGAATAATGTGAATATACACATCAATATATACAAATAAGACGTCTCATATATTATATCAGCACCTCAGAGTATGTCAAGTCACATGAATATAATTTGAAGATATTTGCTCGACGATTTTTGTTAAGATTAATTTCTTTAAAATTGATATCAAAGTCCTCCTTTATTAGCAGCTAAAAACTTAAAACTGTTTGCCATTAGATGTGACTTAACATAGTATATTTCTGAAGTGCTGATATGAAATATCAATATGAATGCAAAAGCTAAATATCATCCAATCACATCGTGCAACATCAAATATCGCAAGAACACAGAGTTTTCAACAAAAAAAGCTGATATAACTGTGGAGAGATATAATATATACATTATTATGATTATGCAAGACAGGCAACGGTAAAGCAAGTAGGAAAAAAAAGTAGTCGAATTATTTCATAGAGGTAATTATTAATATCTTTACATGCCTTCATGCATGTTTTGTAAGTATCGATTTGCATTTCTTTATAAATCTATTATTACTAGGTGTTAAATGGTATAATTTATGCTACAGGTAACAGTTAAATCTACTTTTTAGTTTTAAATTAAAAACAATTGCTTTAATACTGCAAATTCCTGATATTTTATATGCCTATTTTTTGTAAAACAATATATTGAGTATAGCAAAAATATTAAATCTGACAAGAATGGCAAAAAAAATTGAGCATATAATCTCACCTAGTTCAAATAGATTTGAATGCTCCAATCTTGCAAAATCATGATTCTTCAATAAGGACGAAACGTGATTGGCAAGAAAGAGCAATGGCGTATAGATCGTTTTAACGCATTAATAAATTGATTAAAATATTATGCAAATACAAAATTCTCATTTGTACTTTCTACCTAAATAGTTTTGGCTAAATGGCTTCTTGATAGATTAAATATAAATGGCTTTACTTAATATCAAGATAAAACGATCTAATAAGATTTCTTTTACAGCCAAATATGACTGTGGAAAGAACATGTACACAACTTCTGTGTTATAAATAAATTAAAACATGTTACAATTCAAGGGGTACATCCCCGTAACTAACCTCCTGTAATAGGTCCTGGGCAGCAATGGCTTTCAATACATTTTTTTTGCTAGTTTCTTGAATCTCTCCACCGACAAGCAATTCATCTAATATAAAGTATGCCTTTTCGAAATTGAAAATTATGTCCAGCTCGCATACCTAATAATATTATCATCATTATTATAACTACATATTTTAATGATAAATCACATAGCATTGTATAACATATGCTTTCAATTTATTTTGACAATTATACTTACACTGCCAAAATACTTATCCAATAATTCAACATATCGATGTATAATTTCCAAAGTCAGCAATTCATTGTCATTTTGCTCAATCGCACAGCAAAAATATAAGCTTGCGTATCTGCACAAGAATAAATCCGAAATTTTATAGATTTAATATATGAAGACTTTTTACAATCATATTGCTAGATGCAAATTGACGGATTAACGTACATCACTATTCAATAACGTACCTTTTGTAAACCACTTTAACATCCTTCCATTCTAAGAAACTCGACATTTTGGGCTTTCGTGCGAGTATCGTAGTAATAAGTTCACGCGTTATTTTCTTTTTCAATTTATCTGGATGTGCGACATACCATTTTTGCAAACGAAGCTTCCCTTGACGGCTGAACAGTAACATAAATTGCATCTACAAAGCAATAATAATCCATAAATTATTATTAATTGTTCCATGAATCCTCCATACTTCGTAGCACAGGTATTACGAAAAAAACTTACCATATTGTTACGACTTTATTATTTCTTGCCTCGCACAATTATTTATCTTTCACAATTAGCACTATGCGTAATTAGCTCCACCCCTACAGATTATGCACACGTAATAAATCACTACTCGAACCGGACCTAACGAGGTATTAAAAAAAACGGTTACACCGACATGTTGAATTCAATCACAGCCCACGTTATCGGCGATGCGTTCGATGAAAATACGATGAAGTTGGTATTTTACGACTGAGAGAGATAGTTGGTTTGTAAGTTTATATCTCTCTCTAACTTATTTGTAGATAGAGAAGAGTGTACCAATCACAGGCGTTTTTACAATAGTAGGCTTGAAACGCAACCATTGGGATGCAGGTTTATTAGTCACCAGTCATGCCTCTCAACTGGACTAGTGAATACGTACATCTAGGTATTCTTACATTATGATGCAAAGCTGTGTGACGGTTTGACGGTCTTCAAAACGTTGAGAGAGTAAATTGGAGTAAATGGAGTAAATGGAGTATAAACATAAGATCGAAATGTAAATTGTGTGCAATATTAAGATAAATGTAGATTAATTATTTTCTTCATAATTTTAATGTAGTTTGGATTTTCTTAATCGATAATCGTAACGCACGAATTCTAAATAACATATTCTCTAACATAAGATATACGATGCAAAAATGAGACTGGCGAATCACCCCGCAAGTATAGTTGTAAAATGAAATAGTGTTTGCGCATGTGTTTTAATTTAAACTTGGCGGTGAGATGAAGAATTTTTTCCCATTCTTTTACATTTTGAGATCTAATCATGTTTTTCATTCCAGATGGTTTCCTGTAATTTCATGTGATTATTGATTTTTGTTTACAAATTTATCAGTATGTCGGAAAGTGAGAGAAAACGTACGTGTTTAAAATTTATAAGGTCCTTCAAAAGTAAGTTTCAACATATATTTGAATTTCTATTGCCTTTTTTTATTATTGTTTGTATTTAAAAATGGCTCTTTTCTTCAGTTTTTGCACTTAGATCACAATTTGAATAATTTAATAATTGAGAATTTTGAATAATTTTATTCCTAACTATTGTTTTATATTTGGATTTTTTATACATTTGTATAGTATTAAAGAAAGAAACAGAGATGCTTTATTATAAGAATATTCTAATTTAATCTTCTTTATTTTTTTTATCAGAAGATAAAGTAGTTGAAGAATTTGATACAAAAGTTAGTGTTTTGCAAGAAGAAGCTAGCGAAGAAGGTCTGGATGATGATGTTCTTGATAAACTCGCAGATATTATTATTCATACTGAATTAGGTATGTATGACAATAAATATTAGTATTATAATATTTAAGAAACTTGAATGTCTTATTTGATTTTTACAAGTGTATATGCATGCATGTTTTAAGAGAGAACAAAATAATTTCCTAAATTGGAATTTTAGGTGCTGTCAAACGTGTAGCATTGATAAAATGTCTAATTCCAAAGTACAAATTACCTGAGAAAATAGCTAGGACTATAATTACTTGGTGCTTATCCTCTATGAATAAGATACCGCATACTGTTTGTTTGACTATTATTCAATGGATTATAGGTAATTTAATTTTTAAAACCACAAGAATATATATAAAAGTAAGATTATATTAAAAGAATTGTTGTTTTTTAGGTTTGTGGGATTATGAATTAGTTGACAGAAAAGTAATCAACATATATTACGATGTCTTCTTCCACAAAATGCTCAAGAAAAAACAATTGGTATTTTATGTTTAATAGATAAAAAGAAAGATTCAAATATGGAATTGTTTCTATATTGTTATGAGAGATTTTGTTATTTAAATTGATAAATATAAATTTAAGGAACCTTACTTTGCACGTCTCATTTATGTGTTAACAAAGCCAGAGGATGTTTCTCGGAGGGAAGTCTCACAATTATTAGTTCTTAAAAAAAATTCTTCTAAGCCACCAAAACATATTACTGCATTACTTTCGTAAGTATAATTGATATATTTTTTTACTAATAAATTAAAAAATAATTGTCATTTTGAAATATGTTTCTAGTTTATTTAAGTCATATAAACCAGAATTGGTACCTGAAAGAATACAATCAGTAAATGTAGAAAGTGTATGGAAATCTATAAATGAATTTATACGATTAGCATTGGAAGGTGCTAGAGATCGTGCGGAAATTCAACAATCGGAGGAAAACACTCAAGTTTGTTTTAACTGGAACGCAGTACAGGTATAAAACATTTTATGTGAATAATTTTATAATGTATGATTCTGAATAAATCATAAAAATTATACACACAGGATACAAAAATGACAAAAAAAGAGAAGAACCTTCTACCATCTATTAGTTACTTTCATATTGGTTCAAATATTTTTAAAGACAAAGATGCAAAGTCAATTTTTGAGATAAACGGGTAAGTAGTCGGTCTAAAATAACATAAAATTATTTATGTTAAAATATATGTATTTGTGTTTTTTTAAATATATGTATAATATATTTCAGTGTAAAAGAGTTGGGAAAATATCATCAGAATATCGAATTGCCTTGTAATGCTGTTTCACTTTTGGTAAACACAGCTGGTTACCATCTTCTTACATATGCAAACTTTCAGTACCAAAGTAGATTTTCATGCAATCTTTATAATACACTTATAAGAGGTACATGTGTATTCCAGGTATTTTAAAGATAAAAATAAAAATTATGTGCTTTATATACTAAAATTGTGATATGTTAATATTTTAGCATTTATATTAGAAAATGGAAAGTTCTCTAAGGAACAAATAAATAAATTTCTTACTATGACAATTGAATTTTCTCGATATATGCAGGAAGGAATACTTGTAATGAAATTGTTCTTGCATGAATATCTATATTACAATACAGGGGAGCATTTGTCAAAGCTGCTCAATTTGTTGCAATGGATGAATATTATATCAATAGATGGTAAGAGTAATATAATATAAAGACTTTCTAATTAACGTTATCGAAAATATTATGGCCTTATTATTTTCAGAGCTACAAAACATTCTGATATATGTACAGAACATATTTTATGAGTCAAATCTATATATGAAATGTGAAATAATCAAATCTCTATGGAAACTAATTACAAACTTGGTAAGGATTCATTCTCTCTAGTTACGTAATATTTTCATATGCTATATCTTAGAATAATATTCAATATAAACAAGAATCTATAAGAATGATGGACACTAATTATGACAGCAATATACAAAAATATAGTTTTATAGGATGAATTTACTTTAATACTTTATCTTAATTAAATAGATAACCATATCAATACAATAATTTCTTATTGCAGTATATTAGACAAGGACTTGAAGAGTCTTGTCAAGAGACATCACCTTTTTTAGGACAAAGACCACTAGATAATTTAGCAGAAATTGTATTTGAAATTACCAAGGTAGCGGAAAATCTGATTGTTAGTGGATTAAACACGCACAATTATAATATTATATTATTATCAGATAGTTTAGAATTTTATGAAGAGGTACATACAAAAATCGAACTATAAGGATTTTTTTTATAACGTTTGATTAATGTTTCATCTAGCATCTTTTTTCTTCTTTTTAAAGATCTGTACATTAGAACATCGTAGTTATGTGCCGTCTTGGACACTACCACCATCAGCAGTTGTCTACGGAGCATTTGTTGCGAGAAATTGCGTTATCTTGTCAAGAATTTGTGGATTATTATTAAGGTATAAATTTCACACATTCAAGTTAATTTTGTTCTCTTTTGCTGATACCTGAATTGTTACAGATATCGCGAAATGAGTCCACACTTGCGCCAAATTGTTTCATCGGACATATATCAAAAAAAGATTCACATTATATCCATTTATGCGCGGGATATTTATACAGCATTGTGGTTAGACGAGGTATGTAGAAAGTAAAATTACAAAATAGATTTATAGATATAAAGCAAATGAGCAACATTTTCAACGTTGTTTTTTTGTTGTAATTAGCCCTTTCGTTGCCGCGAGGATAATAACTTCCTGAGAAATCTTTCACAAGATGTGATCGATGATTTATCAGATTGCGATTTAGATATTTCACTAAACATTTACAATCATTATGCTGTATTATGCTACAGACACAAAATGATAAAAATGGGCCTAAATATAGATACAAAAGAGGTATGTATCGAATATTTTACTATTACAAATCTTTGATTCATAAACATTATAAACTAATATGAGAAATAAACTCTGATCTTTTTTTATTTCTATTTGCTAATTCTGGAATCGTAATTTAAAAAAAAAAACTTATTTAATATGAAATATTAAATTGTATATTGCTGCGCTGTTAAAAGCTTTTAAAACGGGTGTTTTAATATTTCTTTTTTTTTTACATATATTTGCTCTTGATGGTGATTTTATTTTTTTATTTTTCAGGATGCTAAGTTTATGGCTGCATATTATTATCCTGCAATAAATAAATTTATTTCCGCATTTGATAAATGACGTGTCTTAAATTCCTCTAAAAGAGAAAATAATTTAATAAGTTAAATAATAATAATTATAATTTTAAAATAATTTAACAAGTTAATTTCACTAGCTAATTATTTTTTTACTTTAATTATTGCAAATTAAATTCTATATAATTTTAAATAAAATAAAGATTGGAGGTAAAATAAAGATTTAAATTATTGATTTTGTTAAAAAATTTGTAAATACAAATAAAAGTTCAACACTGAGAATAAAATTGGTTTCTAAATAATTATTTATCTATATTATTCTGTTATATAAAACATCCATACAATATAATCCAATATTTTTGAGCCATATGTGAAACTTAAAGGTTCGAATGTCAATCAATATTAATGAAAAAGCGTCCGTCAACAAAAAGAAAAACCGCTCTCGGTGGAAAAATAAGAAAAAAAAAAATTAAATTTCTTATAAGAATGACAATCTATAAATAAATAATAAATAAAGAATTTGTTGAGTGTTTGACAAATAAATCGTGGCTATTTTTATTTCTAATATAAGGCAAATATTGAGAAAATAACAAAGTGATAAGAAGAAACGAAAGCGGACGATTTTTCTAAATATTACAAAGTTTCTACTTATGATAACTATAAAATCTTTGTTTCTTTTTTTTTTTCAAATAAAGTTGAAGGAATTTTACCATTTTCTTAGATGATAGATATTGCGTGCATGAAGAAAGCTACATATGTCATGTTTTATTAATATAAAAATCAGTGTCGCGAAAGGAGAAACGTTTTTACGATAATCTCAAAAATTAAATATATGATAGAATTTATTTTGCCATTACACTTCGACAATATGTTCTTATCATTCAACATTTTTATTCGCCTAAGCTTTAACTCCTACGATTAATAACGCAAAGAGTAGTATTTACGTCGAATAATGTAACACAAAATATGTGCTTGTCCTCGTGCCACATACTCATTAGTGAATCAAGTCTTTCAATTTCGGATTGAATACACTAAGGGCAGTGACTTTAGCGTAAATCGTAAAAAATTTGTTCAGTGTAAAAACAATATATAGATACATTATGAATATTGCAAATCTTGACTCCAACTAATTTTAGATAATGTATGACGTTACATGGCACGAAAATCAATTGTCATTTAATGTTTGCAAGAAATTGGCCGTACCTCATCATATTGTGACTTAATATGCGTGACATAAGATACTTATATGATATATCATATTAATTTGTCTACATTTTTTAATGAATTACGCACGAACGCCTTTGATAACTTCTTCATGTATTTTTCTTTATAAATCAGTGTATTGCTTTTCTCCTGTCGATCGCAAACAAAAGCTTGAATTTTTGTACACATGGATAATCATAAATGTAAAAAAAAAAAGTTATCGTTACCCTCAGTGTAATGTTTTCCACGATATTCGCGACATACATGTTTACAAAAAACTGAACTCTAAAAGTAATGGGGTTTACAAAGTTGTGTGTAAAAATATATCTTTTCGTCGAGATGTTTAATTTTATGAACAGGCAAAATAAATGTGTCGTCGTGAGATATTCGGATAATATTTTAAATGTTCGAAGAAAATCATTATCATGAAAATGATATTGATCAAATGCACTTATCGTCATAAGATACTGCAAGTGATAAATAAATACAAGACGTTAATGTGTATGTAGATGACTAATACAAAAAAGAAAACAATAACTAACGCTCTAACGTGTTCTATCGCATTATTTATGTCTTTGTTGCAGATTCTAGAATATGCAATTCCAGTCAATATATTTAAGTCGGAAATAAACTATCGCATTGAACACAATATATTCGTTTCGTACATTTAAACTTGCCGTTGTAAGAAGTACTTTTCATACATAACACTGACGCAGCAAACTTTTGTAATTTCTACAGGAAGTAATTTTTTTTTTTTACTACAATTCTAAGTTAATGTTGCGATTCTAGCTTCATTTTCTTACGGTTAAATTTATGTAAACAAGATAAACACTATCGCAATATGTGAACCTGAATTCATGAATACTGCAAACCAGACTATAGCTTTTTATACAATAGACATTTTAAAACAAAATTTAACGTTTATATTTAATGTTTATATCCATAAAAAAACAGCTCGTATTCGCTCAAACACAAATGGTCTCTTTGTTCATTTCATACAAAAAGCATATTGATACTATTTAATGATATGTATTCTAAAAATACAAAAATATATAAAAATTTATTATAATACGTATAACAAATGTTAAAATGGAAAGATTTTAATTTGTATATGATAGAAGTTCTTGATTGATTACCTAAAACTGGATGCATATTCATTCAGATTTCACTTTTATCATACTCTTACACTATTAATACAATTTTATGTAGATCTACTGCAGTTTAAAGTATTTTTAACAAATATAGGCGTATTTACATGCATAATGTATGAATTTCCATAGTTCCTATAGTTTTTAATCTCTGCGTGGAAAATTTGATGGATAGAAGCATGTAAAATAATCTTCGTACATTTAAGAATATGAAATGTAGAAGTATGATAATAAGCTGTAGGATATATGATACTCTTGGATAAGAGATGCAATTCGAGCGAAAACGAGCTGTCGACAGCACGGAATTATATTACTCGGTATGCATGTATAATATTCTATGAAGTAGAATGTAAAATCCAAATTATGATGTAAAATAATATTTTGGCCAATAGAATACATTTTATAAAATATAGATTATAAAAGTAAGGTATTTTCAAATACATTTCAATTGATTATAAGAAGCTAATCATTATAATAAACAAAGTCGTCAGTTGTATAGCTTTCACCTTGATCACTCTGTCTTAAATTTTGAATCTATCTTTGGCACAATATGTGTTAATTAAGCAAAACTAGTTATAATTACATGAGAAATAATAAAATAAATGAAAACACAAATGTACATGTCACAATTCACAATCTTACGGACAATATGCACTTCTTTTCATTTCAACTAAATATGTGCTGATCACATGTCCAAAGACGAATTTCTTCTTTAATAATTGCTTAAACCGTATTAAGCTTTGTTAAAAAAAAAAAAAAACGTGAACTCCAAAAAAATTAATAAATTCTAAAATTATAAAGATGTGTTCTAGGCATATTTCTATACACATGTATAGATGCATATAGATGTATATAGATGTACAGATGTGAAGATACATCTATATTCGAAGATGTATTTATAAAAGCTTATAAATATAAATATAAATATATATATATATATATATATATTCATATTTACATTTGTAACACTTTATTATCTGCATTACGTAAGATATACATATATATATATACATACATATATATATATATATACATATATATATATATATATATAATTTATATTTATATTTATAACTTTATATTGCTAATAGAAGTAACTATTCAGGACATCATTTGAATGATGATCAGTTCGTTTGATGTGTATTACACTTGATAATTATGTTTCTGTGTATATCCATACGCTTAAGTGCATATACGCATCTATTTTTTTGTCCCTACGCTCGCACACTTTGTCCTTGCACTAGGAAAACGATTTTACGCGCTTCACTTCACTTTTAGCAATAACACTTTTGTACATAGAGCAGTACGTATCTATTATCGAAAAAACGAGATATAGACAACAGTTTCACAGTTAACAGTAAAGTGATAAAATAAAACAGATCAGTTCCAACTGCCGTCACTCTCCGCTCCATCAAATACAACATCTGCGTCGGAGATCATACTTTCAAATGAGTGATCCGGCTCGTCTTCTAGGAACTCATCCCGATTTCTTTTGCTCGAGTCTAGCTTGCGTTTGTCTGTTGCTAACGCAACTTCGTCCCCTGGTATTCGTTCCTTGCGGAACTCGTAGACTAGTGGATAAATATGTTCTATTGCCGCTTGGACTGCAGCAACACTGGGAGCTGCAATATAATATGTATAATCGATTATTACATAATAATTCTGACTTTATCTAAATTATGGAATTCACTCACAAACACCATAAACAAGCCAAATTGTATTTCATTATATTTCATTATTCATGATTTATATTTTTATAAATTTAATTTTTAGCTTTTTTCACATAGACACAATACTACATCCTTTAGTTTTGAAGTTTAAGACTTCTAATCCGATATTGTCACAATACTGTATTGTACATAGAAATAAGAAATCAAATGAGAAAATACTGATTTATTTCGATATGTGTTACAATAATAAATTTGTATAATTTCTTATGCATTTCTAACTTCGAAATTTATAATATAATAACGATAACATAAATTAGAAGCTGTAGTAAAATAAATTATTAAAAGACAATATTTTTTTATAAGAAAACATCTAATTAATACGCACCTGTTACAGTCACACTTCCTGTGGAAAATATCTTTAGAGTAGCTTTTGGATTTTTTAACTTGTACGTAACACCAGGATGTAATTCTGGTTCGTAACTGTATACAAAATAGAATATTCATATTAATGGAATATTCATGTATAGAATAAGTTAAACAATTTTTTGAATAATAAACAGCAATTTTTTCATACTTACTCTGCATTTTCTTTGTGAAATAAGGAAAATGATGTGATCTTGATGTCAAATGGCATACTACAAGTGCCTAGTACATTAACCACCCTATAATTATTGAATCTCACTTTAAATCCAAGTTTTTGAAGAGAGCGAGCAAATCTGCGTGCTGCAACCTTTGCTTGAATTTCACTGGTTGCACCAGTACAAGTTACTTTGCCGGATGACCATATAGATGCTGTAGTATATGGTCTCCTTAATTTCATTGTTATCATCTGGAAATATTCCGTGCAAAATTTCTATGTATATATTCTTTTCACAAATATAGGATTACTAATCTAATATTTTGAATGCACTTATAAATAGAAAAAATGTCAGAAAAATAGAACATTTAGCACAAAAAAACTTGATTAAGAACCATGATATGTGTGTCTTACAATTTTCATTTAAAAGTTGCAGTTTAAAGTGCTGCAGGCAATAATAAACTCAGAATATATAAATTTAGGAAAAAAGTTCAATTTTTTTGTTAAGATATTAATTTGTAATATTTATGATAGAACATCCTGCATACAGTAATTTGTATAATAGCGGTAATCAATCTACTAAAGAAATATAAATATATAAATTAACATTAACATACCCCATTTTCTCTTTTATATTCAACATTGGATCCATGAAGTGCTATTTCTCGTAAATTTAAGTGACACCTTACACTAAAGCTGCAGACTACATTGTTAATAACAATGTCGAGTTCTGGGCCGTCTTCAATTTCAGGCTCTTCAGCATGATTCATGTAAGGCTGAAGTTGTCCATCAAATAATCTATCATGTTTCTCTCCTGGACATGCGTTAGCATTGTCCAAGTTGTTAACATTTTCTACATGATTCAACGATTTATTGGTTAACGGTTTCATGCCATTCTCTTGAATAGCAGTTGCCATAATATTTTGTCCCTGTAACATATAATAAAATCGATCTTTAAGATTTATAAAAGTACAATGTCTCAAAATCTGATAAAATTATAATAAATACAATATAAACACACAACTGTATATAATACCATAATTATCAACTGCACAAACTTTTAAAATAAATTAAATTGAATATGTATACAAAAAAAAAACATTACAACAATTGATATAATTTTACATTAAAAGAAAATAAAAATATTAAATGTATTAAGGCTTTCGTTCGAAAAACCACACCTCGTGTCTATTGTCTACAGTATGTTACGTGACAATAAACACAGAGTCACACACAGAATATGGTTTCCGAAAGCAACCTAAATTATTCACACATCATAGTGTAATCAATATTTTGTGTTATGTATCTGTAAATAAAACTAATTTTAAAAAATCCAATAATTTGCATTAATATAAAATATAAGAACATTCAACATATTTTGCAAGTTTTATATAGTTTTTAAAATATTTTATTTTGAAATTTTCAATAGTTAAGCTATGCCTATTTGTGTGCAAAAAAAATAAAATTATACTGTTAATTTGAACCGTACTTAATTAATCAAAAGATCTTTATTTCATTTCCTTATAATTTAAAAATTATGTATGCTTCCATGTTCTTCCTGAAAAATCGAAAAACCAAACCGTGTTTCAAAAATTGACAAGAAAGACAGGACATTTTTTAAATATTTTTCTAGAACATTTCTATATTGATACAAATACAAAATATAGCTTAAATGATACTTGTTAATATAAATTGTATGCCTATCTCAAATTAGAACAAATTATTCGACTTTAATAATTACTAGAAGGGAAATCGCGTGAAAAATAAATAATAAATAAGTAGTTCACACCTTCATATAGAAACTTGACTTAGAATTACGAAATGTAATGTGAAGGATGATTCTAAATTGGCATTAACAGTCAGCATTCGCGCTAGGACCTTTCAGAATGACTGACTTATCAGTTCAAAACAAAAAAATAAATAAATTTGTCTTTCAGGAAGAATATGGAAGCATAAACCCCTAATTTTGTTCAATGTGATTGTTAGTGTCGGTATTTTTACTTCAAGTATCCTTTAAACTATATTTTGTGTTTGTAATATAGAAATCTATGTCTAGAAAAATGCTTAAAAGACATTTAAAAGGCATTTAAAAGGCATTTAAAAGGCATTTAAAAGGCATGTTATCTTTCTTGGCAATTTTATGAGACATGTGGTTTTTCGATTTTTCCAAAAGCATAAACCCGTAAGCAATATTCCTCTAAGCTGCCTATTTGTGTAAACTTTTTTCGATTAACCGATATTTCTTGCATCGACTTTTACGAATTAAAATCATTGTTTTTGTATATATACGTTTATTTCTTACAAGTGTTGATTCCTGACATATACATTTAAGGCTTAGCCACGAAACAATTATTGTGCGTTAGATTAAGTCACAAAACATTGTGTTGTACCGACAAGTCAGTTATTCCGCGAAGGCCCTTACACTCGATAATGCAATAAACAGAAATATACTCGATGACCCTACTCGCAAGAGTACACATGATACACAAATTACGGGAAGGAGCGAAAAGCAGTACCGAAGTAAGACGCTCGTTGCGTTTGCACGTGGGTGGTTACTCGCGCATCGAAACCCGGAACGTGGTGCGATTTAATACCCATGCAATCTATCACGAATAAACTGCAGTGTCGCGTTTAAAAGCAGTGTGAATTGATAGCGGTGTGAGAGAAAAGAGGAACGACCGCCACGAGAATGCGTAGACTGCCGAGACCGTTCCTCGGCGGGATTGATACGTCGTGGACGCATGCGGAAAATGTGCAAAATGATACTTACACGTGTGTGCTATGCCGAGTGCCGCAGTTAATCCCGAGTCAAAGATAATCTCTTTGTTGACAAGTGCAAGCAGAACGCAAAGTTAGCTCAATAACCATTGTCATTGTTCTCAGCCATATTCGCTAGACTGGCGACTACTGGCAACCCGAGCGAGCAACCGATGGCCATGGAGTTGTTGGCGATATTAAGATGGTTAACATCCTTTGCGTGAAAGCATAGTAAGTATCGTCTAGGGACACTCGATTCCGAACCGATTTTTTAGAGAATCGATTCTTGTTGTCTCGATTCTGTTGTCTTTTAAAGGCCTATCTGTAACTTTTAATATATACACGCGCGCCTTTTTTTCTTTTCTTTCTTTCCTTTTCTTTCAACACTTTAAGCTTATCAAATGGCTATTAAAATAAAGCTGTCAAAATACAAACTGTCAAACGCAATCATCTCTATGACAACCGATTGATAATAAACAAAATTGTTTACGTGAACTTGGCGATAGATAAACTGATCGATAACCGTCGCGATGACAACGAAAAGAGGCTTCAAGAGTAAATAACATGCCTCTCTTTTAAGATAGGAGGATGTGACAGATTACTTGTTAAAACTGAAAATTTTTTAATCTTGGTAAGATCAATATTTTTATTAATGTTGATTGAATATTTGTATATAATTTATATAATGAAGATATTGCATGTTTAAATTTTGAGTTATTTCTTTTTTAACAATTTATATAAACTTGTGAAAATAATTGTGTCAACACTTGGTTATTTTGATGCAAAAACAAAATTGAGAAAACCCTTGCAAGATTCAAAATTCGAGAAGATATTGCTTATAAAACTAATATAAGATAGTAGAAAACAATTGTTTATAAAATTTATATGAGATAAACAAATTAGAAAACAATTATACACTAATATAAAATTTTAACAGATTGAGCTTGCATAGAATTTTTTTTCATGTTTATGTGATTTATGTTTATGAGATTCAATATGAGTAAAAAACAAAACATTTTTGGAAATTTATATTTCGAAATCTTAAGACAATACATGAAAATTTTTTTCAGATTATTTACATATAATATGTTATATAGTACGTAAACAAAATGCTGCAAAATTTTTTATGACAATCGGAAATGTAGAGTAATAACGGTGATAATAACGACATTTGGATTTTTTACATATGATTTTCGTAAAGAAGAATCTACAGAACTGATGAGTAAGTATATTAAGTATTTAATAAGATTAGACTTTTTGTAAATCAATATCGTTCTTTTTATTTAAGATTTTTATTATTTTATGCATTATAAAACACTATAAATGTTTATTTTGCAAATTTTGTAACATAGAATGTTTATTTTTTGTAATGGCAATATTTCATATTTTGTTAACAATATTTATTAGTACCTTATTTATTAAAAAATATTGTGTAGAATATTTAATAGCAAAATTAACAAAATATTGCATTATTTAATTGTGCCGTAAACAATTACAAGAATGCACGTAAAAAATACCAAGCAGCACAATCACACTTCTATTCAAAAATATCAATAAACACTATAGCATTTTTTCTTTCGTCTCATTGTTTAATTTAATACTTACTTGAGGATGGCTTTTATAAAACAGTTGCATAGATTAGAGTATTCTCTATTTTCTATTCAACTGAATGATTAACTACTTCCTGAGAATCAAAGAGCCAATGTGATGCTTGCTGACACTTTGCAATAACGAAACAGCAAAAGCGTATTCGCGCTTCTTGGTACTCAAATGTTTAAAACATAATCAGAATCGTATTATTTAGCTGCTACAATTATGATAAATTGTTGGTATTTTATTCAAAAATATATGGTGTAAAATAAACATAGTATAATTATTCAAAATTCATGGCATTGCATTAACTGTTGCAGTTTTCGCAAAATAATATTTTCCAGTGATATGAGATGCCGATGAACTTCGTCAACAGAGCACAGAATATTTCTGCAGGCCTACATATACGATGGCCTCGTCTCTCGTTAATCAGGTCATGCATTAAAGTCACTACAAGCTGCAGGTGTCGCATATCCAAGAATATTAAGATTACGTCGAATGGCATCACACACAGGCTGTGTCAGGATGTGTAAATGTTATTCATGTCCATATCCGTTCAGCCTCTAGAATTCCACCATCGTATCTTAAGCTACACCATATATGGCACCGTACGTATTATGAAATAGTGAAGTACATATTAATAATTTTTTATTCTTATTACGTTGATGCATATAATTTTATGGAAATGCATTCCGTTTGCGATAAAAATTGTCTTTACCTATAAAGTTTTACCTTCGCATTTATTTAATCTAGAGAATAAATGTATACTTGATCCATAAAAATATTTTATTTTTGTTTAAAAGAAAAATTTATCAAGATAAAATATACTGTTGATATACTAAAAACTCTTCTGTGGAATAGTTTTTAATTGTATATAATTCGCATAAGCGTGTTTCCAAAAATAATTTTATACATACAATATTTTTTGAGACTATACACACTTTTTATGCAGCTTCCAAACTTTATTTCCATATATAACTTTTTGCAGATGAGGACAGTCCCGCGAATCTAGCCGGTGTATTATTGTGTTATTTTAACTTAACGGTAAAGACTTGGCTGGTGCGGTGGAGACGGCGGAGACGGAAGGGAAATCTGCACTGCCCGGTTTCTTGCAGCCATGATTGGTAGTGGCCGTCAGTGCTTGCTTAACCGTTGCCGCGTTAGCAAGCCGCAGCTTTCTAGTTCTCCGATTTTTTGATTAGCGTCATTTTTGTGCTCCGTTCTCGCATTGCTCAGAAACTCAACGACGACTGTTGACAACGATCCGATAAGGATCGGGACGACGATCCGGTTTGCAATTTCCGTCGATAGCGGAAGAAGATCCTTCCGTATTTTGACTAGGTGAGTCATCTTGAGACGAAATTATTTTATACGATGACGCGATCCTCTTTTCATCTCGAAAAAGGTATATTTTTAGAGCGATCTTACTGATAACGCGGACTCGTGATCGCTCGTACGCTCGTACGCTCGTACGCTCGCACGATTATCGTTGTTTTTTACTGTTGTTCCGGATTCGCGTCGGTGAAAGTCTCAGTCGAAGCGACGAATCGCTCGATACTTTCGGCAGCCAACAATTTGTAGACCTAACTATAGATCTGGCGGCTGCTGGAATTAATCGGCAGAATCTTAGGCAGATTGGGCTGAAATTTAGTTAATAAACAAATGGAAAGTAGAATAGCTTAGTATGAACACTTTCATGGCGGGAATTTCGCTCTATTATCGTATACAGGATGTCCCACTTCTCATCCATTATATTTAAACGACAGATTCTTTGGTCAATTCGCAGACGATTTTTTTTTTAGTGAGAAGATGTAGAGAGCGATAATTGTTTGTTGCAACTTTCCAATGCAGCATTTATATATCTTAGAAATTGCAAATCTCAAATTTAAACTCTAGTAAACTTCGCTTGGATTTAGCAAAGAATATAGTTTCGTCATTTTATTTGACTCTTTAAAGTTCAGTATGCAAAAGATCTTTTTTTGTCAATCATTTGCGACGCGAAAATTATTGCTGCTTTAACCTTTTTGCTAATAAAAAGTCAACCAAACGATTTGCACGAGTGCGCGAAAGATGAGATATATATTTTATATTTGAATATGATAAAGCATTTAATTATATTATTAGCGCATTTTAATTCCGGAACAGCAATCATAATTTCTAAATGCCAATATTAATAATAATGTATAAAACTTGATTACATCTTTTAAAAATTATGATTATAGTTTTTGTTTTTTTTATAAGAAAGTGCGTAGCTGTCGTAAGCAATTGAATTCTACTAATGTTATGAGTCTCAGCGCTAAGTAAAACGATTTTATCCGTCGCTGGCAATATTTCGTAGCGCATAATACTTCTTCTCTCAAAATAGAAAAATTGAGTAGTAATTAATATAATAATGAAAACAATTTTTTTCGATATTAATTATTACGCAACACAAGGATGTAACGTGCGAGAAAAAATTCCGTGCATTTTAATCGGGATTTCCAGTCTCTTATGTCATAATCTGAAATGACTGCTCGATGTATTGAGGAACAATCTACATCATTCATCCATTATCAAGTATTTTTTCCTTTTTACCAGCATTATTTGAATCATTCAAAACAATGATGAATATCGTATATATATACATATATATAGACTCCCGGAAGAACCGGTACAATCGGTGAAATACCGTGGTTTTGCTAAAAGAAAACTGTATAACGACATAATTACGCTTGTACAGTCAGTGCGCATTGTGTCACTTATGTACATAATTACATCTGCTAATTACATCTAATTACTCACGACATTTAGTAACATTCTTGACGTTTGCATATTTATTTGTATCTTCTCAGTTTTCACTTTAAAATATGTTCGCGGAAGAAATTATGATTGATTATCGTTGTATTGCGGAATATTGTAATTTCCTCGCAATTTCTGCGGAAATTAAAAAAATCGCTGATTTTATAACTTTATTCTTACGTCATGCATCTGGAAAATACAATATTTTTTAAAAAGGATGTTTAATCAATATGGAAAGTTGGAAACAAATATAAATAACAGATTCAGTATTATTTCGTACACAGAGAGTGAATATTCCAGATAAAATGTAAGCTGGAAAGTTTCCTTAGAAATTATTATTCGAGATAGCGACAGAATTCTCTAAATAGTTTTCAAGAAAACAGCTTGTAACACTTTATATGAATTCTGCAAATTCAAACGGTCAAAGATTATCTTTCCAAGATATTCGTAAACATTTTTATTTTACAAATTGTGAATTGCGAATTTATTAAGCAAGCATTTCATCAATATATTTAATGTTAAATTAAAAGCAGAACAAAATTCTTAACATAAAATTAGATTTTATCTTATTTCTGGGTTTTTCTTTCCTGCAGATTTTTCCTCTTTAAACATGGAGTGGCTGGGCGTTCTGCTGCTGGCAGGAATAATCTCAAATATAGCGGCAGAACCGTAAGTGCGGATATTAATTCTGAATAATTGAAAAAAGAACAGTTTTTATGTTTTTACTAATTAAATTATTTTATAGAAACATTTTAGATTTTCACAAGTATACACATATATTGCACATAGATGCAGTAGACTGATGAACTTATCGTTGCACAATGCAATTGCTTTTTTTTTATTTTAGAATTTTTATTCTGCTTTAAGGTATTACACAGTTATTGCGCCGAAAGTGGTGCGTCCTGATTCAGAATATAATGTAGCGGTGAGTATCATCGGCGTATCGACACCATCAACGATATCTGTCGAGTTGAGCGGAGAACTCGATACAGGAAAAATATTCAACATTTCCCGGACGGCAGAGGTCCAACCTTATTCCACTAAAATTTTGCAATTTGACGTACGTATGAATTTCCTTCGAAGCGAAATCTTTTTTTAGCAAGAACGATAAAAGCTTTGAATAATCTGTTTTAACTTCTCTCTCTTTTATCGTTTAAATATATTATTGATTCTGTTTAGATCGGTGAAACCACGCAAGGAAAATATAAACTTACTGCACGTGGGCTCTCGGGTATCGAGTTTCACAGTTCGAAAGACGTCGATTATGTGCATAAAAGTTATTCCATTTTTATTCAGACTGACCGCGCCATTTACAAACCCGGCCACCAAGTCATGTTTCGATGTATGATATTGGATTCAAGGTTGAGACCAAGTATTGTGGGACCAACGGATGTTTATATCCTTGTAAGTATCATTGTGAACTCATTATTATATTATTAAGATGTTTGTTTCTGAAGATTAAAATTTTGTTCTTAGAATCTCTGTTTTATAAACTCTTGCTATAAATAATTATTTACTTTAATAAAATAAAATAATTTTCCTAATAAATATTGTATTATGAAACACATTTGTATATTTTTCTTTAATTTAAATACAATTATTTATACGTTCTAAATAAAAATATGTACATTGCAAAGTAAAATAAATCTCTCAAAAATAGGATGGCAATGGTAATCGCATCAAACAATGGAATCGGCCATCCGTGACGCATGGAATCTTCAGCGGTGAGTTGCAGCTGTCAGAGTCACCAGTTTTGGGCAACTGGAAAATTATTGCCAATGTGGGTGATCAGAAATTTGAAAAGGAATTCGAGGTCGCCGAGTATGTTTTGCCGAATTTCGAAGTGACGATTGATGCACCGAAACATGTCCAATTCAAAGAATCAAGAGTTGTAGCAACTGTTCACGCAAAGTAAGTGATTATTTCGGCAAAGTAAATAATTTCCAATGCATGCGTACATAATAATTTATGACAAAAAAGTGATATCAGATATCTAATCGATAATGATTATATATAAAATAAAGATAAATTTTTTTTAGTTTGTCAAAATAATTTGATTTCATCGCTTGCCGCTCGTATTCGATGATATAAATTGTTAAAATACATTAAAAGTTTATTTTTATTTTTATTAATAGACGAACATACATTTTATTCTACATTTTTAACAAAAATAGACGTTGAGGATGATTTTTCAGCTTTTCTGGCAAAATACTAATCATTTGATCTAAGGATTAATGACTTGATTTTATTTAAGCCGCATGCAAAAAATGTTTAATATTTATATGAAACATTAGTGTGATCAAAGATATTCATTTGTAAGTGCATATAATTTAGGTATACTTATGGAAAACCAGTAAAAGGTGAAGCTACCATAACAGCGTACCCAGATATTTTTTCCGGAGTCATCCAACCGATATTCCAGCAACCCGTGAGAAAAGTAGTGCCAATTAATGGAAAAGCTACAGTCGATTTTGGTATTTTGTCTGAATTGAGGTAAACCCAACATATATTATTACACTGATTTCATAAACACATATATACATAATGTATCGTAATCCGAGTCTTCAGATATTATAATATTTAAAAAAGTATTACTGGAAATGAAGAAATCAAAAAACATAGTTTTTGACGAATTTTTCTGCTGTAGAATTTTACAACACATTTGATTACAAATTACGAAACGTATATATTGCATTATATATATTATTTTATAGATTGACTGATGAGTACGAAAGACCTATCAAGATTGACGTAGTGGTGGAGGAGGAATTGACTACCAGAAGGCAGAACGCTTCGATGCAAGTGACGTTACATAAACACAAGTATACGATGGAACTGATAAAGACTTCGGAGTATTTCAAACCTGGGCTGAAATATACTGCCTTTGTAAGCATGTGTATTATGACAGACAGACACTCACCTTACAAAGCGTCATCCGTGCGTATTATATTACGCGTCTTTTGCAGTTAAAATTAGCGTATCACGATGGATCGCCGGTACAAGACACGAAAAATCCCGTGCTCATAGCGTACGGATACACATACAATCAGGCGGCATATTCAAATCTTACACGTATGTTAGATGAGCACGGCATGGTGCAGCTGGATTTTTATCCGCCCAAATCAACGGATAACTCGTCTTTTCCTCTAAATATAGAGGTAAAACTACTAATTCTATTTCTTTATATTATTTACAAATACACGTATTTGATCGTATGTGTGTATGCAGGCACAATATTTAAATCTTCACGAATGGTTTCCCTCAACTAATCAAGCCATGTCCGCGAGCAACGAATACATCCAGGCGACCTTAAAAACGGAAAAACCAATGGTATTCTATTTAAATGAATAAAATTGTTATTGATTTCAAATCTGTTTTTGTGATAAAACTTTCATCATATTTTTGTCTGCTTTACTTCGCAAGGTGAACGGTTACGTGGAAATTGAAGTCAACTCTACTGCTCCATTAAAGTACATAAATTACGAGGTACTTGGTCGCGGTAACATTCTAAATGCGGGATCGATAAACGTGCAAGACAAACACACAACGTCTTTCAAGTAAGCATGAAGAAAGTTTAAGAGAATGGTCGGAGTTTTCTGATATTCAAACATGAATGGTTTGTATTTCGAGCTAAAATTTTTAATTGCTCGTATTTTTCGAGTTTTTTGAATCTGAAAATATATTCAATTCAATCTTGAATTCACAATTGAATTTATGATTCACAATTTTGATGCTTCAGTGCTCACTTCAAGCTATTCGTACACTTTGAGTTTTTTTAACTTTAGTTCCATTTTTTATATGACAAACCGTGTTCCAGATTTTTGGCATCGTACGTCATGGCACCTACTGCGCATGTAATTGTATATTATGTGGGCAATGGTAATGGCGATATTAAGTGGGGAGAAGTAATAGCGGATTCGTTAGATGTTGAACTTACAGGAGTACTTCAAAACTTTGTGAGTCCCGTTCCAAAATACTGTTCTTAAATATTAGCCGTAAATATAAATAATAACGTAATCTACGCACACGCACACAGGTCGATCTTAAACTAACACCGGATGAAGTCCAGCCTGCGCAAAATGTTAACATCATGATATCTGCGAAACCAAATTCTTACATTGGATTGTTGGGCGTCGATCAACGATCCCTCTTGCTGAAGTCCGGAAATGACATCTCTTACGTGCGTACTATATTGAATATATTTTAAGTGTTTGCTTATAAATTCTTATGTAGATATTTTTACGCGGATTTCATTCGCTCTCTCGTCTCGGCGGTGTAAATGAATAATTCGGACACTGTCGATCGCAGGATCAAGTGTACAAGGAACTGCAGTCCTACGATAGAGCAGAGGTATCACCGTACGCGGAATCATTTTCGACCGTCCTCTGTGGAGACCCGGCTCGGGAACAGCGGATGATGTGTTCCAAGTAAATATATATTTTAATATACACTTTATCCTGTTATCCTATCGTTATCCGATGACCAAATTAACGTAACGAATATTTCTAACAGAAAAGCGGCGTAGTAATACTCACAAATGGGTACGTCCATGAGAACTTTGCTATACGTAAGTATCAAAACAAAATTCTAATAACAATATAACCGTGCACATTTATTAAGTATACCACCTCTAAATTGTCTTACGGAATATACAACACATTGGATAACTTTGTTTCACTTAATTTTTAATCTTTGTGCATCTAGAATAACATCTTTGTTTTCAATTTATTTTCTTAATCAGTATCCGTTGAGTCATCTCGCTACAAACTAGATATATATATATATATAT